AAATATCATCAAATTTTGGGTAAATTATTAACAAAACTTAATAGTCTTGGAAATTATGGAATATTTCATGTAAGTAATTTTTTTTTATTGTTTCAAAACAAATTTTACTTTACATGAAGTAAATCCGAAACATTGTAATCGTATAGATAAATTGATCAAAAATTAACTTTTTCAGTTTGATTCAGTTTTCTTTTAATGACAAAAAATCCTGTCTCCTAAGATTTTTTGTTAAAGGTATCTGAAATTCAGATACAGTTTTTTGTGTACAGTAAGCTCTTATTCATCCACCTCTCAACATTTTGTTCTTATTGGTTTTCTTCTGCGTAAAGGTCGCCTAATTGATCTTAACAATTATCTACATGAAAAAAAAATTAATTAATGCAATTACGTTTCTGGATAAGTGATAAAAAGTCTTCATATTATTGATTCAGTTTAGCTGTTATTTACTGAAAAATAAGATAACGCGGTACTGCCGAACTTATAAGTTTAGTACAAACGTACTCATGTTTTTCTTTAATATGGATTATAATTTCACACAGATATCACAAAAACAAAATATACATTTAATATGATTTTTTAAACGTTTGCCACATTTGTTATTATACGATGGATAAAATAAAAATAATTGCGAGCAAAATAAAAGCCAATACAGATGGCCTTTTGTAAGAATTAGATATTTTTTTGATCTTGAGTTTAAATTATTTTATTTTTTGTGTATATCTGTGCTCACGAGTTAAAAAATAACATGTCCATTTTTTTTATTGAATAATTTATTAACTAAAAAACAAATTTTAATACCTCAAAGATATGGTCAATCGGCTCCCTAAACAGATACAAAAATGTGGCATGGTGTCCTTTACCATCAGAGTACAGATTTAGTAACTAAGAAACAAGTTTTAATGGCTCTGAGTTACGAAAAATATACTCCCTGAACAAATACAAAAATATGTCCATTTTTGAGGTGTCGTTAACTCCGGCGTACAAATTAGGAATCAAGTTTGATCACGTTGACGAGAGGACAACAAATCAATTCTAATTCATTAACAATTTTGGTGTCTTTGTTGAGGCATATTGATTTATATTTTGTTGAATGTTAATATTTCGTGGAACTTTTAATATTGGTATATTAAAATATTAATCTAATATTAACCTACCCTCTCCCCTGGCTCGGAAAAAAAATAGTATAGCCGAAAAGGCGAAAAAGATAAAATGAAACAGATAATATTAATAATTCATTTTCTCTGAAGACTTGATATTCAGTAAATAAATAAACAACTGTATTTTGGCAAAGTTTTGAGATATAATTGTTCTCGTATTCATGTACAATACCGAATTACTAAAAATTCGGTAAAACGTCAAGATTATGTTGAAAGAAACAATATAACTAAAATTATTAACTAATTAATTATTAATATAATTAAAAAATATAAAATAGAATTTGGACTATTTATATAACTGATCGTTGTTAAATTAATATGTGTTTTACAAGGATGTATTATGAAGTATAACAACTGGATTAAAATTAGTTTGCAGGATCTTGAAAATGGCTCCTGAAGCCTAAATGTCGAATAAATAATACAGGATGTAAAAACTGTGTACATTTCGTGACCTTAATATTTTATGAAAACTTTAAAAAAGCATTTATTTTATTGTGATATTTTGTAAAGAATAATGAGTTGTTTCATTACATTCATCAGGATACATCTACCTTGTTTTCCGACGAATATCTTTCCATTATATTAGGTGTCCATTATTCCGATCCTTAAAACCAAAATGCTTCCTTGCACCCTCAATCTATTCACTTCATGTCTCTCTGTCTACAATCTAAACAAAAGATCTCAAGAATCACAAGAACTTGTACATTTCTTCTCAGAGAGCTGAATTATTAAAAGAATCCTTGATAGTTTTTTTTTTTTTTATTTTCACTTACCTCCGTTCGAAATGAACATCTATAACTTTTTTTAAATGTATATTATTTCTCCATCTCACCAACTATCAATTTATATATATGCAGAGAAACTCAAGATGCGTTTTTTGTAAAGTCACGGAATTGTTATTGCTCAGCACGAAGTCGCGTACGTCCCATATCGCTTTCCCCCATCCCGTATCGCTAAAGCTAGTGCAAAAGTCGTATGTCAAAATTAAGATTTTTTAAAGAAGAGCATGTAAAAACCTATTATTTCTTTTTGATTTATTAGTATAATTTTCCTATGCTGTTTTCTTATTTAGCAGTTACAGACCACGAAATGTCACCTTTATTAAATTTTTAACGTGAAGAGAATAAACATACGTAAAATTACATACAATCTTTTGCACCAACAGTAGCGAAATGTTGTTCCTTTATGTATTATTATTCCTTTATGTATGTATTTGTTCCTTTATATATTTTTTTTTTTTTAATTTGAAATAAATATATACCGATTGATCTTAGTTGTTGGAAATTTGTATAAGACCGTTTTTATAAATAGATCGGATATTTTTTCGAAGTTTCCTTATTTAGTTGAGGCACTCGTGGAATATACTTTTTACAAAACCTTGGAGAATAGATGCGAACGGTTTTGATATCATGCATTTCTGACTTAGTATTACCACATATGCTGAAAATTTGGTAACAGCGTTGTTTTATTTTTTCAACTAGGAATGAAAAATAAGAAACAACAACGAATGAGGTATTCTGGGAGCATAATCTTTATTTTATCATTAAACCGCACCTGAGTAAATGTTTGTCTCATCCTACCGGAAAACATATTACTCAACTCTTGTAGTTTGCTTATTAGCTGTCGTCTGTTTAGCATTCGCTTGTGGAATTGCACATTTACGGTACTATTTACAGTTTACTTGGAACTGCTGAGTGGGACAAAGGAGTTCTCTTGCTTTCTGTAAAACTAACTTCCGAAACCATTTGCTTTTCTTTAACCACATGAAAGGATCCACTGTAGTGGAGAATAATACTAAAAAGTGAATGAGCAGGAAAATTTCATTTCGAAATATTTGTCAAGAGAATATATAAGATTAAATAATAATATAGTTGGGAAAGGATATGAAATATAGTTATTGCTTGTGATATCTCGAAGTGAAACAGGTTTGACTTGGAGATAATGTTGTGGGGAAATAATTTAATGAATTAAATTAATTCTGTATAATAGATGTTTCAAAACAATATGATTTTTCTCCCTATTATTCACTCGTTAATCTACTTCACAATGTACGTTAGAAATCATCCACAGCGATCTGTGGATGATTCAACAACCTACAAGAATGATTCAATGGATTTTAGGTGAAGTATGACCCAGGACTGAAGATAGAGAAGGCCTGAATCAATACAAATAATGACAACACCTTCTAGAGTTTACAAATGTTGGAAATTTGTAATAATTTTCCAAGGATTTTTGTTTTAAGTAGTCCAATTTTCATGATTTTTAGAGCTTTTTACCAATATCATTAATCACTATTAAAAGTAAGAATCTCAAGATGATATGATGAACCAAAAAATAAAGTAAGTAAGTAAAATTTGGTTAAAGTTTTGATTTTGACAATCGGACAAACCACCGATTTAGCTGGGGAAAATTTTTAGATTTTCAAGAAATTAGGTCATTACACATATAACATGCATTGGTCATATATCAATTTATAGGTTGTTGTATTTATAAATGACATTTTAGAAGCTGTAAAGCTGTTTATGAATATATGGGATGCACAATTGTTAAAGAAACTGATGGATTAATTAGTTTATTTATTTATTTTAAAATGTCATTTACTATTTTATGCGTGAAAACTTTGGTTACAGTTTTTAATAGTATTTGTTGAAGTAGCGTGAACTGAAATTATTTCTATAATTTAAGATGTCAAATCACTATCGAACTCAAATAGTTTTATTATAATCAGATATCTGTACAATGCAGAAATGCATACCCAAACTATTTTTGTTTTTAGCTAATTCAAACAAGTAATTCTAAAAGAAATTGCTATTCCTAACTATGAAGTAGGATCTCAGTAAAAGAGAATTGATTCCTAATGGATGGTTGCAAAATGAGATGAAGCGATGGGCATCCACGATGAACCGCCACTTATTTCCACCGACCCATTGAAAGACCAGGCACCCACTCACTTCATACTGGCGGAGAGGAGGGTCTCCAAATTCTCGCCTGATATAAAATAAAATAATTTTTTGTTGCTGCCAGTAATAATGCCAATTACTTTTAACACTTATCTTAATCTTCTCTAAATAATAATTTGCCAAGAATCATTAAAATATAATAAATAACTATTGAAGGAAGCTAGTCGACTGTTCTACATATCATGGGTGATAAATATTCAGGACGCAGTCTTTTTAAAACAATTTAAAAAAAAAAAATTATTTGTGCTAACGTTTCAACCCAAACATGTGGATCATCTTCAGGGTGTGGTTTGAGCACTAAGGGTGTTGAGTACTTGAACACCCTCAGTGCTCAAACCACGCCCTGAAGATGACCCACAGTTTGGGTTGAAACGTTGGCACAAATAAAAAATTAAAAAAGAAATTGTTTTAAAAAGACTTCTTCCTGAATATTTATCACCCATGATAATAGATAACTGTTTGTTTTCTTTGTTATATTTTATAACTGAGCATTAGTATCTTAGTTTTTTAGAGTTACCATCTCATCCAAACATCCAACAATTATTTTTTCTTATTATTATTATTCTTTATCGCCTCATGGACGCACACCATCTGGTTCATCAGTGTCCCTATTTCGAAGCTACCATCAATCTGTAAGAATCTAGTTCCTCAGGTTAAAAACCAACAACCTAAACGAGTCTGGTAACTGTTAGTTGCTCCTATCATAGCCGAGAAGTACTGGTGTTATCCGTTGGTATCATCGTTTTTGTTCACGGCTACAAGAGGTAACTTTGTGATGCTTAACTAACGAGGTAATAAGAAGGCTATCTGATGAAGCCCGCGGTCCAGCTGTTGGGCACCGACACGGCACCGCGGCCCGGGGCCGAGGCTACGTCTTTATCAGATGGGTCCCTGGAGTGGCCCCCTTTGTCGGCCGCCGATATCTCGGCACAGGTGTCGGCCGCCACCTCATTCCTGCCGGCGGGCCTATACTTATGCTATCGCTGTCAGGTCAAAATATATTTCACTTCGTGAACATTCTAAGGGCACCTCCGAGCTGGTTATTATGTCGATTTGAATTGAGACTAAACCGGGTATCCGTATAATTATTGTTATCAACCTCGGCACCTCTTAAGAGGTGTGAATATTAAAGTATAATTATCCCATGATAACAATAGTTCACCCGACTGGTCCAAGCTGAGTTCAAAAACCCTCTCTACCTGTTTTCCAAACAGAAAGCTATAAAAACAATTATTAACTTCGATGGAGCTCAATATAAAAATGTTTGAAGTGTTCGATCGACGCAAATTTCATAATTTAGATCAAACTTAGGTCGATGCAAATTTTTTTAATATTATATTTCCTTTAATTTTTATTCATCTGGTTCAAAACAAGACAAATAAGCAGAAAATAAGTAAAAAGTAAAGTCATCGGTAACATGTTAAGGTAACGAATGTGCATCATTGAACCAACTTCAATTCGTTACTTTAATATGGTGCCGACAAAATAACAAACATAGTTACAGAAATAAGAAAATGGTTGAGATAAGATGGACCTTTAAAGGAAGGCACGAATTAGTAATATAAATAATCTATACTTAAGAGTATACCGTTCATTACATTGCTGATAAAGACAAAACCTGTACCTAGAAAATACATGAAGGGTTTTGGGTCTGAAACCAAAGGTCTTGTCTAGGTTTGTCTCTTTATACTGTCCATTATACTCATACTCTGTAAGGAAGTATTGTGGTCAACGGTTGTGCAACGGAGTTATTCGAACCAAGATCACGCTCTATCGCCAAGTTTTTGCCCATGTTTAATCAATTAATTGAGGGAACCCACTTTATAAAGGCTGCATGTGCCCTGGGAGGGTCTCTTGTTCTCAGGATCGATCCACGGCTGATGAAACAGAATCAATAACTACTGAGAATCAGCCGGAATCGAACCCATAACCCCATAAAGTTTTGGAAGTCGGTGCCAAATTCAATTTCGCATTTAAACAAAAATCAGACCGAAGTAGATTATAAACTCTCAAAAATATGAGTGAATTCCATTATTCTATGATACTGTGTCGCTTATACAATTTAAGACAGACCGAGCTTAGTAACGAAATTAAACAAATATATGAAGTAAAAATTATTTTAATTGAACACAAGTAACCAAAAATTTCATTTTAAACGACCCAAAATTGTATAGGCCTATTAGTATTAGTCTGATTTTTAAATAGATAAATAAAAACTAAAATGAAATCAATCAAATTAATCAATTATTAGGAATAATTGAAGTTCACTCAGTGTTAATATTAATAAAATATGGATGAATATGAAACTTTAAAAACATTTTTAAAGGAGAAATAGAGATAAATATTTTAACCTTGAAAATCAATTTCCAGAAATGAAGGGAGTAATATGGACGTATGAGGCTAATGGCTTGTAATCGTTTTATGAAATTAATAATGTCTAATTTTATATTATTGAATGGTAAATAAACATGTTTCTAGACACTAAATGGATTGTGGGATACTAATATTTTTTTTATCAACTTAATAAATAAAATATATTTTGATAAAAGGGATCGACATAATCATTTTTAATTCTATTAAGTTTGTATTTATAATTACAATATTAGTCTGAAGGTTTACTAATTTTTTAAGAAATTAATTTCTACTGAAAGTAAGGTGGTAAGTGAAAGTTATGTGATCCATCGCACTAGATATTTTGCAAAATCTGTTTGAAATATTACGAGGTCGTTGATCCAGGAATCTCTGTTCCTATTTGTGTTAGAAGATATCCGCAAAGAAAACTGAGTCCCATATCTTTTCCTTGAGAAAATAAATTCACCATATCTATCGTAGAGATAAGACAGGTGCGTGTGTACCTGCTCAGCAAGTAATAAGCCGTGGAAAAGGAAAAAAAAAACCTGAAAGTGAGTCGAAAGCAAACAGGGAGAGATATCTGTTTGTTGGAAGCAAACAGGGGCAGGACCTGATTAGGTAAGCCCAACCTCGAGTAAATAATTAAATATTACCTCAAGCCATTAGTGAAGACCACCTGGGCAAACAGTGTCTTCGTCCCTCTTATATAATTAGCTTGGATCTTACCAGCTTAGCTTCACGTGTTTCATTCTTTTCTTCACAATGACATTTTCCTGGTTATCTACACTATATTTAATAAGGTAGTATACTTTTTCCGGCTCTCAGGAGCTACGGATTTTGATGAATGGCGTTTCAAACGAAAGGAAATTTTATCTAGAAGTGACGAACTCGAAACCTTTCCACGACTACGATAAAAATCATTTAAGAAACTTCAAACGTCCACGGATCTAGATGACATAAATTTATTTTTAAAGATTAGGACTTCCTAGATAAACGATCTAAGCTTTCAATTATTTGAAAAAGACCCATATATATGACTATAATAAGGGTTATTTGGACTTGACGGAATTGAGCTTTGGGGGCCCACTAAACCACCTAATTCCTCTCATATCCAATCCTTACAATCCAAAATCTTTCGTTAAATCCCCCATGCTCCTTACTTAGCCACAAATTAAACCATCCACTACGCTACTGTTAGTGGAAAAGGTCGTATGTAAAAATTGAATTTTTTTTAAAGAAGAGAAAGAACCTCTCTTTTGAAACCTTGCTTCCTCTTGTTTTCTGATAACTCTCCGAAATGTCTGAAAAGAAGATGTTCTCGTCATATCTTTATGTAGACATATTATTAGAGTGCTACCAGTGTTTAGTTTCCAAACACGCGTTTTCATGTCATTATATTTCTGTGTGCACATTTACTAGATGTATTTTTATTTTAATAGAGTTGCAAATATCATGAATAAATAAATAAATAAAGATTTCGACGTGAGGGTCATCAAACCCTTAAACTATTGATAATTCTTGCCGAAAGTCTCTTAAGCCATGTGTTTGATATGCGAGGCTTATCGCATGTTTGGGTTTTAAAAATTAAAATATTGCTACTTTTGATAGTCCCCAACGAAAATTCTGTTAAAAAAGTATATCCTAGAGAATATGTGAATGGTCTATCAATCACTTATGATAATATGGAAAGAAACTTTTTGATATTTGTAATGAATAAAAAAAACTACCAACTCATTTAATCGAAAAAATGATTGAAAAACGGCAGGCAGAATCAGACGTAGCGTTGAATGTGACTAAAAACGGCTCCTTACATTAAACTTAACATGATTTTCAAAATGACAGGCGAATGTCAAATTCTGAACTAAGTTGTAATTTTTAGCCCAATTGGTTTTAGTTCGTTTTGAAAGATAGAACTAAATTATGAAAACCGTCAGGTACAGAATCAAATCTTTTCCGTACAGTAAAACTTGAAAATCCGAAAGGAAAATTTTGGATAACAACAAGAATTTAATTTCTAAAAGCGATTACAGTAACTACTTGCATAGCTAAGAAGCAATTGCCGGTATTAAAAATATTTTAATTTTATTATTATTATGTAGGGATCCTATGTTTTGAGTATAATTCATAACACACTGTTTCGTTTCGGTAGTCAAATGATTACTTCCTATCGGGGATGGGACATGGGAACTGTTCAACTGCAAGGGCCCTCTGTTGATATTTAATGTCAAAACGAAATTAATTTGTGTGAAATACCGTCCTCCACGGTTGGCGGTGCAAGTTCGTTACCGTGGATGCTAATGCGAGCTCATCCTTGCCTGAAGGTGGATCCACCTGTTGGAAAATCCGTTGCCTAATTGCTTGAGGTGGAAATATGGATGAGTTGAGAAGCAGGTGTTGTTACATCCTTACAGGTGGACGTTCTGGCCCAGGGGCAGCGACGATTTGATTCAACGCACCGGGGAGCCCGCCCTGCAACTGCCGCCAGCATCTGCCGGCGGGGGTGTCTTCTGCGGCCCGGGTCGGAGGTCGCAGGGTGGAGCGGATTGTGGAAATGATAACTTAGAAGATACTTCGGTTAGATGCCATAAGTGGGGAGGAAGCAGGCTTCAGGCTACGTTACTTTTAATAGAAACAATGTTGAAGGAACCTTTATGCAATATTTCAGAATTTTAAATGTCGTTTATAAATAAAAACCCTTTTTTCTACTTTAAATATTTATTTGCAAATGTCAAGTTGTGTCGACAATCAGCAAATGAGATGCGGGAAATAATGACATGTCAAGCATGAGGAAGGATAGTACTCAGCAGCACCTCTTCCCTGACTGCTTTCAATTACTTAGGTTGTCTAAGAAAGGAGATCTCTTATCCGACGCCTTTTTAGTCACCTCCTCATTTGCTGCTGTTGCAATGTCTCTTGTTAATTAGTTGGAATGTCCGTTTAAATTTGTATAAAATCGTTGATAGTGGGTCCTTACGTGTTGATCGACGTTTGGAAGGTGGAGTTCAGCATGTAACTAATTTTTAATAATTAATAGTTCGTATACAGAAATATTATTATTTTCTTTAAAAACATAAATAAAAATCATACTATGTAGTATTTTATAATATTGGAAATATGAGGATTTTCAGATTCTTTCCGTCATGTTGAGGGATTTCTTTGAATCATTGCTTATTCTTTGTTATATGCATTGATTTTCAACTCAAGACATGAATGTGTGTAACGCACTCGCGTACCTTCTCTGGCTGTTATTACCAATGAAGATGTTGAGAGTGGAACATTGAAATCTCATAGAATCGTGATTTCCTCTCTATAGGTTCGAATTACATCTGCCTGATTGTAAATAGAATATTAACCAATGTTAAAATTGATATTTTATTTAAAATAAATCAGCAATTTTTTAAAGAGGAAGTTAATATTTATTTAGCATCTTAAAAAACCTTTAAGTTTGAATTTTTGTAGTATTAAATAAATTAATTTTCTAAGGTTTATCAATTTTTTCTCCAGGATCCAACAGGCTACAGGAAAAGTCTTAAACCTGTCCTTCATAAGCAAATTAGAACCAATGATTTAAAATAAAAACTATTGGAAAGTTTGTATTTATTACTATATTACAAAGGCATCAATATAGAATCTTACTGATATTACCTGAATTTATATTATCTAGAAGAAGTGTTATTCAGCTTCCCAACTGTTGTAGTAACGTTATATTTGGATTAAAAAAAAAAATATAAAAAAAAAAATAGCGAGAAGTTATGAATGCTTAAGTGACAGGAAAATATTTTCCCGTAGGTAATCCACAAAATCCAAAAATCTTCGTAGAATCCTTTGTAGCGGAGATTACGGAGCTGATGTACATTACAATAAATAAGCCACCTTATAATGTCACAAACAAAAATTATTTATAAATACGTCATCCATTAGTTGCAGATTTGCCCTGAGTCAGACGTTCCTCTTTTGATCCCAAACTCTTTGGTCACTCGAATACTCAAGTTCATACTGTTTCTTATTTTCTTCATCCAAAACAATTTCTGACAACCTTCTTTTTCGAACTTATAGTGTTACCAATGGGTAGTCTCTTCACTATAAATTGCCATGTTTTGTATTCTTATAGCAGATTTACTTGAGTTGTATGTATGAAGTTGTAAATTTCAATAAATGATCAATCAAAAAAATTGTTTCTCTTTGTTTACAATGAAAATATTATTTTTATTTTACATAATGCACCATGAAAAACATTTGCAAAAAAATAAAAGCTTAAAAAATCCACTTATTATAGTGAATTATCAATTAGGCTGCAAACCATATCTATGAATAATTGTATATGGTTCATCTTTGTTCCAGGTGGACCCCGTTCGCTAAGAGCTCGCAGTAGCGACCATAAAGGAGACCCAGCTGACTGAAACAAATCTGATCGAAGACAAGCTATCACTTTTTATTTTCGCACTCCAAGGCCGGCCACGTGTTCACGCAGTTAGTTTCTTTTTCCATCCTCAGGCGATGTCATTTATCAACTGGAGCAAGTTCACGGCCGTTTGTCTCTACATCTCCTCTCCGATTCTGCCCATCTTCCTTCTTATCAGGAAATGTCTGGACTTGGAATAAATATTCAACATCTAATATTTTTTTTTTCGTTCGACATGTCACAACAGGAGGCTCATACATTATGCAATAGAAAAGGATAAAACGAGATTCGAATTATCGGAGTACTGAACCCTCCGAAGTCATCACCCCCTTCATAAACGAGGAGGCAAACAGTCGTTTACATTTATGGGATGCGATAGCACAGTAAACAATATACTAAAATCGTTTTATTATTTCTTATTCATTAGGAAGATAGTCATATATTTAACTAAATATATAAATTTTTTTTTTTTGTTAGCATTACAGATCTTGTAGATCGTTTCCCGACTTAACAAGCCTGCTCCATCTCTACCTATTTTGGGCTATTTCTTTCCATTTATCTGCACTCAGCTCTATGGCATCATTGTTGATTCTATCTATCAATCTGCTTTTTGGCTTTTCGAGTGGTCTTTTGCCTTCTATAAAGCCATTCATTGTTAAAGTCTTCCAGATGGATTGCTCCAAGCTACATACTGCATCCATCTTAACCTCCGTGTCATCAAACATTGATTGATCAGTTTCAGTAAGCAGCTCCTTATTTTTCTTATTCATCTGTAATCTGATCCCAGATCACTCTGGTTATCGTGCGGAGTATTTTTCTCTCAAATCTTTAAATAACTTTTTCCAGAGAGCTGGTTAGTGTCCAGATCTCACAGCCATATATTAGCATTGTATATACTTTTTTTTTTTTTTATTTATAATTTTATTGAAATTTACAACTGTATTACATGTATATACTTAATTTGAGAATTCTTGAGATCTTTTGGGAATTCAATACCTTATCTATCAAATAAACATATCAATTGTCAACTCGAAATATCGTAATAATTTAGTCATAATTTCAAGAATTATTATAACTTGGTACCTAGTTAAAAAAAAGTTGTGTGTTTTTTATGAATGACATGTATGTATATATATTAATTTTATAGGAGTTTATTCGCTGAAGCTTACAACAAGCTTATATATATACACAAGTATATATATATACACAAGTATTATAGCTTTAATTCTACTTTTTTATTTTTATTTTTCTTATTTTGTCTTTTTTTTTTTAAATAGAGCATGGATGGCATCGATAAAATGTAAATATAATATGCGAATTCACATGGTGTTGTAAGCTTCAGCGAATAAACTCCTTCTGCATTGGGTTAATATGCAAGAAAATATATGTGTGTGTGTGTTTGTGTATGTACATAAAAATATGTAAATAAAAAATTAATTTACTAGGGGGATACCCTTTATCCGACTAACTCCGGACCAACCCTCATTTTAAAAATTATACAACTGTTCATTTAATTGTACTAATCGTTGTTCAAATTGTATAACTGTATTTTACATGTATTCTGTAGTTTAGATCGTATTATTTTTTTCAATATAGTGTTAGCAAGAAAAAAAAATCCCTTAAAGAGTATTTTGTTGCCCAACATTTTTCCATAGGCTGGCTGAATATTTCGATTTTTTTGAATACTATAAAAATTGTAATAATTTGAAGAGTACACCAATTCAATTAATTATCAAGGATAAAGGTTCCTATGAACGAAATAATACAAACCAGACTCCTGTAAGCAAATTAACTGTAGAGATAAGAAATAAAAAAGTTCGAGGAGTTTTCCTTTCCTTATTTCTTATGCATGTGTAAAATCTAAAGGTTATTGATTTGATTTGGAAGAGTTGTAATCCATATTTCCAAAGGATATTTTAACATTGAAGTGGAGAAAATTCTGAGGAGTTATGAATTTATTAACGGGCAACAGTACTGGCGTTGGTGTGGGAGCTCTGGCTGATGTTCAGGGAAGCCTCTACGACGAAGGGTAAAGCCGATTTGGTGAGATTTATTGGAATATATTTGAATCCTCTAGTTTTGATACCATTCTTTAAGGTTGGTGTTGGGCGGGCGATGCGGCCGAATGGGCTAACGTGTGTGCACAGCACCATCTTCGTCCGGCAACCTGAGACAATGGATATAAAATAGTCACGAGTTCGCGTCCCGGTTCTGAAGGAGACTTGTTAAATCCCTGCCCACACCCCCTGCCCGAGAAAACCCCGTGTAGCGTTAAAGGGGAGAGTATAGGTTGGCTATGGGTGATTCAAGAGTTTTTTGTTACTACTAACTGATTGGGTACATGTGAGATCGTTATACGCATTGATGACAATGTAAGGAGGGATTAGGATGTTAGCTGTATAAACTGTTGTTGTTGTTGGTTGGGATTTTAAGGCGTAAAACATCGAGGTCATCAACGCGTGTGTTTAATTTTGTTTATCTGAACTAGATTTATATTTCAACTTTTAAATTTTGTTTAATTTTAGAGAATTTAACACTAACTATACTATGTCTTCGTTGTTTTGAAGGATCTTTGATATTGGGAGTGTGAATCTGAAACTAGTTAAATTCGAGATATAGATTTTTTTTTTATTGAGAAAAAATACATTTTGCCTCAATCAAGGGCATTGAGTATTTGAGATATAAGAAACTCATTCATACAATATATTCAATTACAAAAATAATAGAAATTATAAGAAAAAGAAAGCTTGGTAAAATAGATGAAATAAAATATTATACAAATTAAAAAAAATGAATATATAAGAAAAAAATAAAATAAAATAATAATAAAAAAAAACTAATGCTTATTTACAATATATACAGTCAGCTGAGAGAGATCCAAGTCGGACCCTTTCTCTCACGTGTGGAAGATAAGGCAAGATTCTAAGAGATCCCAGCGCTTCGCTCTCAGCCGCATCACTGAGATGGGGATCCAGTAGAGACTGAGAAAGGGCACTAAAGCCACATATGCTCATGACATGAGTGGAGAAGCTGGTCATTGCCAGGACTCTAATGACAAATTTACAAAAGATCTCGAGGCCACTGCCTTTTTAACCGTCGAAGAGGTTTGTAGGGATGGCTGGAACTGGATAAGGATTTACTATTGTACGAAGGACGTTGGACTGGATGCGTTTGATGTTCGAAAATTTTGATGTCCCCCACAGTTCAAGTTCGTAGGTCCAGATGGGTTTCAGTATGTTCTTGTATATTAACAGTTTGTTTTCAATTGAGAGGTTAGATTTTCTGTTAAGCAGTCTGTATAACTGGCCAAATCGTCGGTTAAGTTCTTGTATTTTAAGTCTAGTGTGTGGGTTCCATGTTAGTCTTTTGTCTAAAAGGAATCCAAGATACCGAACAGTGTCTGAGATCAAGATATAGAGAGAACATTCTTGAAAAATGTGGCTCACTGTAAGTGTATAATTACAGTGTTGATATTTTGATGGCGCCTGCCTGCTAATGAGAAGTGAATGGGTTGGATTGGTATGGCCTATTCTCAGTCTGGTTAAGATAACCTCTTCTCTGCGGATAGAACTATTGTTGTATGAACTATGTAAAGTATATAACCAGGGAAACTACTTTGAAGAACACCACCAGACTGGGAAAAGAGGGATAAGTAGGCATCATTGTGATTTACTTTGAAGTATCTATTAGTAGATATGAATAAAATGATATATGTTATTAAAACAATAGGTTTCCATGTACATACACTTAGATTGAAAGAGAGGGGAAATAAAAACAAAATAATGCAATCCAAATTTTAAATTATGAAGGACGGTTTAAAATGATGGTGAGGAAGATTCAAGAAAAAATACAATACAAAAATAAAAATAAAAATAATTGTTTGTATTTTTTGCCCACTTGTTTTTGATGTACCTTTTTGGTATACGAGGTAATATTTTTACTCTTAATCTATGTCCTTGGATTGAATAATTCAAAAGATGCCATATTTTTCTTTATTTGTCCTGCTAACTTCTCATAATAATCTGCTTATAACAAGGGACACCTCTGGGAGCCATGATGGATGAGCCCGAAGAAGCAATCCTCGGCGACTCGGCCGTCCTTGGGAGAGGATAATGGCAGTGGCCAATAGTTTTTGGCGGTTGTTTCGGCCCAAGGTCCCAGGACACCTGGGCGGCATCTCTTCTTTTTTTCCAGCATCCCTGATTTCGGAGGCGAATATTCGCATCAAAGAATCCTTTCACCAAGCTCGCAAAACCTTTTTTATTTTCCTCTCAGCCAATCAACTTTCAAATTATAATAGGCCTGGATGTGAAAAATAAAAAATGAAGCTAGTCTTAGATGGAGCCAACAGGTGGAAGCGTTTTGTTTATATTAATTTTTTTCAGTTTATCAATTTCACTTTTACTTCCTATGCTTTAGGTAATTGGCTGCATTTTTTAAATCGTAATCACTTACGTCATATGATTTAAACAAACGTATTCTTGGAAGATACTACATTATAACGACAAGGCTACATTTACTTTTTTAGTTAATTCCTACATGAACATACATCCCTAAAGAGCACAAATATGCTCAAAATAATGTGTTCAAAATAGTAAATTTGAACATTTGCATATAATAATGGGAAAACATTTGTTGAGAAACTACCCAATGGTAGCACTCTAATGATATGTCTACAATAGGAGCCATCTTCTTTTCAGACGCCGCGGAGGGTTATAAGGAATTGAAGAGGAAGCAAGGTTTGAAACAAGAGAGTTGGGATGGTTTTGAAGTTTGTTATGGAAGGATAGGTATCTGGATTGGGCTAGATCGGAGGCATATGGTACGTTAAGGTCGTTATGAATGATTTTATTTGTGACAAAGTAAGGAGCACTGAGGATCTTACGAGGATTTTTGATTGTAAGGATGGCATACGAGAGGAATTCGATGGCTTAAAACAAACATATAAATCCATAATAGAAATTGTTTATTTTCTGAAATAATCGCATACGCATATTTTTATTTGTAGAATGGACAAGCATTAGAGCAAATGCGGTATGAAATGATACAAGGAATAGTGGTATTTTTGTATTTGGTGTTCCGAAAATTAATATTAAATGAGATTATAATATAGAAATATGTTTTCATGGATACAATTTTTTGGTTTGAATCTTTGGTAAGTTCTCACTTTTTTATGACTAGATAATGAATGATCAATGTTGTCAATCATGTTTGTTAATTGTCAGTAGATGACGGGGGAATGGCCAAATTAGCTCCAAACGTCGTTTGAATTTGAATAAATCTTTAAAGTATAAGGCCTTATATATTCCTTGAAGACACCATATAACAAATAATGGTTTTAAATATTAAACAATTTGTAAATAAATACCCATTTCTCTTTTAAACAGATTTTTCATTAAATGTTAATCCTTCTTTAATATCTCTTCAAAATGTATGCGCAAAAAATGAGACGAGAGGAAGTGATATCTTTTGTATTTGGTCTACCGAGAATGGATTTTTAATGAAATTATAATTTAGAAATATATTTTCGTAATTTTTTTTTTCTCTTATGCCAGTCGTTGGTCATTTGGCTATTCGATATTTTGCTGCCCAGTATAATTTAGATTTTTTAATATATATATATATATATATATATATATATATATATATATATTTAATAATATTTGTTCTCTTATGTCCCTCAAGGCAAGATATGTGTCTAGATGATCTGCATCCAGTATTTTCGTAAATATATATTTAAGTTCTCAATTTTTATATGACTAGATAATGAGTGATCATTGTTATCAATTATTTTTGTTAATTGTTTGTAGATGATTTGAGAATGAGCAAATTAGCTCGAAACGTCGTTGAATTTGAATAAATCTTTTAAGTATAAGGCCTTATATATTCCTTGAAGACACCATATATAAGA